TCTTATACGCAGCCAAAAGTTTATATATATATATATATGATTTTAGTTCATCAGTCTCACATGATAGACTGTCACATCAGGTGTATTGTTTTCTCAGGTGTCAGGGACAGGGATCAGCATTGCCAGGGGTCGCCAGCTACCGCTCACGTGCCTGAAATACGATAAAGAAACAGTAAGTTTGCTCTTATTAAATCATGTCCATTTTGCAATCGTTCTGACGGCATTTTCGCTTTTTTATGATAAAAACAAATGGTACAAGCATATTTTTACCACATTAAACATTCACATCTATTAAATCTTCGTATCTATGAAATTAAACCCTTTTATAAATACACGGATAATTATCATAGTTTTAGTTCAGATTTGTCACGTGTATATGTCATGACTAAGTGTTAATGTTTTCACACGTGCATTCCGTAATCAAACGCAGCCGCATGCTGGCGTACAGTGTGAGAAGGAAACAACTTTGAAATTTGTTCTAATTACGAGAGATAAAATGTTTTTTCTCCAGATTTCAAGTATCGAAAAGCGGAATATATTACTATCAATATGGGCATCAATCAATCCAAGGCAGTTAGGAAGACGACCGAGAGACCACCGACGATAATAGGCAGATTACTAGCGTCACTCACAGGTTACATCTTACTAGGGGCAGCTCGACAGACCGCAACAATCTGGGCAGCTGCTAACGGTTATACGGATACGGTCACAGCGTTATTAGGTGCGGGCGCTGACATAGATTACGTGGACGTGGATGCCAGGACCGCAGTAATGGCAGCAGCTGCTAGAGGTCATACGAATACGGTCACAGCGTTATTATGTGCAGGCACTAACATAGAACACGCGGACGATGATGGCTACACCGCAATAATAGCAGCAGCTGCTAGCGGTCATACGGATACGGTCACAGCGTTATTAGGTGCGGGAGCTAACATAGAACACGCGGACGATGATGGCGACACCGCAGTAATAGCTGCAGCTGTTAACGGTCATACAGATACGGTCACAGCGTTGTTAGGTGCAGGCGCTAACATAGAACACGCGAACGATGATGGCGACACCGCAGTAATAGCAGCAGCTGTTAACGGTCAGACGGATACGGTCACATCGTTATTGGGTGCAGGTGCTAACATAGAACACGCGGAGGTGAATGGCAGGACCGCAGTAATAGCAGCAGCTGGTAACGGTCATACGGATACGGTCACAGCGTTATTAGGTGCAGGCGCTAACATAGAACACGCAGTAATGGTAGCAGCTGATAACGGTCATACGGATANAGGCGCTAACATAGAACACGCGGACGGAAGGGGCAGGACCGCAGTAATAGCAGCAGCTGGTGAAGGTCATACGGATACGGTCACAGCGTTGTTAGGTGCAGGCGCTAACATAGAACACGCGGACGGGAGGGGCAGGACCGCAGTAATAGCAGCAGCTGGTGACGGTCATACGGACACGGTCACAGCGTTGTTAGGGGCGGGCGCTAACATAGATCACGCGAACGTGAGTGGCTCGACCGCAGTAATAGCAGCAGCTGGTGACGGTCATACGGACACGGTCACAGCGTTGTTAGGGGCGGGCGCTAACATAGATCACGCGAACGTGAGTGGCTCGACCGCAGTAATAGCAGCAGCTGGTAACGGTCATACGGATACGGTCACAGCGTTATTAGGTGCAGGCGCTAACATAGAACACGCGAACGTGAATGGCTCGACCGCAGTATTAGCAGCAGCTGGTAACGGTCATACGGATACGGTCACAGCGTTATTAGGTGCAGGCGCTAACATAGAACACGCGAACGTGAATGGCTCGACCGCAGTAATAACAGCAGCTGGTCACGGTCATACGGATACGGTCATAGCGTTATTAGGTGCAGGCGCTCACATAGAACACGCGTACGGAAATGGCTGGACCGCAGTAATAGAAGCAGCTTGTCACGGTCATACGGATACGCTCACAGCGTTGTTAGATGCAGGCGCTAACATAGAACACGCGGACGATCATGGCATCACCGCAGTAATGGCAGCATCTCGTAGCGGTCATACGGATACGGTCACAGCGTTATTAGGTGCGGGCGCTAACATAGAAAACTTTAGCGTGGATGGCTGGACCGCATTAATAGTAGCAGCTACTTACGGTCATACGGATACGCTCACAGCGTTGTTAGATGCAGGCGCTAACATAGAATACGCGGACGATCATGGCGTCACCGCAGTAATAGCAGCATCTCGTAGCGGTCATACGGATACGGTCACAGCGTTATTAGGTGCGGGCGCTAACATAGAACACGCGGACTTGCATGGCTGGACCGCAGTATTAGAAGCAGCTGCTGATGGTCATACGGATATTGTCATAGCGTTATTAGGTGCGGGCGCTAACATTGATTACGTGCCCGTGAATGGCAAAGGCAAGACGGTGTTGATGCATGCTGCCATTAGCGGTAATACATCGTGTGTCATGAAGCTACTAGCAAAGCTACTAGCAACAGGTGTGCGTGTAGAGGAGAGTCGCAGTAACGATGGCTGGACGGTGTTGGCGTGGGCTGCCTACCGCGGTCACGCAAGCATTGTGACGAAATTATTGGATAAAATAATGACGTGGCATTCTGAGGACTTGCAAACAGCGTACCAGGTAGCCGTAAATCGCGCCCGTAACACCACCATCAACGACGGCTATAGAGAATCCGCCGGCGCTATACTGGCGCACCAATACTTTGTCAGTGAGCTCCCCGACAATTGTGATTGTAACATAGCACCCTGTAATGTCAGTGGTGTAACGTCACTGTCTGATATATGGGAGACGCCAGGCTTGGGAAGATTAGAACATCAGGGGGAATGCGATCAAATGCGGGATGCCGTGCTAGACCTGATGGAGCGAGTCTGCCAGGAGATGAAAGTCTTAGACAGTGACTTCTCCTGCACGCCCATTCTGATAGGCAGCACGGCCAACCGCACAAAAGCTGGTCTGCCGGACGAATACGACTTCCTATTCGAAATCGATAGATATCGAGAAAATGTAATTATTGAAAACACAAAATCTAATAGAGCTGGCTTTGTAACAATTCGCCAGGAAAAATCAGACCAGCATATTTCGATAAATATAAAGGAAGATTTTGTTAATCTATTGTGCCGGGCTGTATCGAAAGTCATGAAAAACGGAGATTATTCATTCAAAACGCAAAGGTCAGATAT